CATATATTGAAACCAAGTAGAAACAGACATCTTCCGGGAAACTTATAAAGAAATCACTATAGAGGGAGCCTACTTTTGGAAAGGTGAGATGCTGATTTCCTTCCCTCCCGCCCTCGCCTCCTCCTTTCCTTCCAGTGTGGCTTCATCTTTAGCTCTCATTCATTACTATTTACAATTTGGAAATAAAAGTAAAAATAACTTTCTCTAACAACAATTTTATGTCTGCTGAACTTTCTAATGGTTTTCCCCGTGCACTGAACATTAAATTGTACATAAACATGTTGACTGATTTTATTTAGCCAATTTTTAAAAAGCCAGGGAGAGGGAGGGAGATGGACAAATGTCTCCAAAGCTGCTCCTAGCTCCGGCATGCCAGGCAGGCGCCCGAGTGTCCTGAGTGTGCCTGTCAGTCTACAAATGGCCAAAAATTGAAACAGAGTGTCCTCCAGCTTCATTTATTAGGGTATTTCAGTTCCGCAAGTCCCTCCTATAGCAACATAGCAACTTTCCAAAAATTAAGGCCACACTGGCCAAGTGAGCCTGCCCCAGGGGGCAGGCAGTACTGGGACGAAAGTGTTCTGCTCTGGGTGGTGGTGAGCAGAGCAGGCATGAGATGGCTCTGGAGGGTCTGGGCAGACGGGACACCTGAAGCCTTAAGCTCAAAGGGTCAGCAGATGTGGGAGATCCATGTGCCTCTTAGTACCTGAGTACTTTCCACGTGTTTTCCAATCAGGGATGGGCTTCTTTCTCAGAGCAGACATCTGCCAGGTTCACCTACTGGGATTTTAACAGTTCAGAAAGCTACACTCCCCCCTCTCCCTGGACTAGTCTGTCCCATTTCCATCCCTTGATTTGTCCAACAATTTAACCATCCAGTTAAATCCTGAATATTAAACTGGCTCAACTCTACAACAGAGATCACATAGGCTGACTCAAAAATTCTGTTTGGTAATCCGTGGCTTGGGGGCGGCCCCACTTTGCACTGTTCCAAAGCTCGTATCCTTTTTTTTTGGTTTTAGGGTTCCTGAGACATCATTCAAACACAGCCTAATGTCTGAGATCCTCTGAGATGGCTCTGGGTGACCTGGGCCTCTCGAAGATTGTGGTAGGTCAGATTTCATGATCCAGACAGAAGTGGATGTCCATCTACATGGACCTACATTTTGGGAGGGGACAGCGAGGCCACGAACAATGGGAGATCCTCTGGCATTTCCCACACATTAGAGCTTTGTTACACAGGCCAAAATGAAGCATGGTCAGAGTTCTTTGTCATGCTGACCTCTTTCAGCAATAGGTAAACGTGGTGGTTTCTTTGGTGCCATCAAACATGATTTCCCTTGTTATATAGCAAAATACAAGGACAGCTTGAGACAGTTCTACTGAAAATAAATGGGAGCCTCCAAAATTTCAGCTGATGACATACAGTATGGGGGAGAAAACAAACATTATTAAGAAAATAAATAATACCATGCACAGCTGTCCGGCAGAACTGTTAGGAAAAAAAATGGTTGGGCAGGAAGGCAGCTTTTGGGAAGGCTGTAATAATATTTCTCATTTCATAGCTTCATCTGCCTTTGCTATCCCATCGGCAGGGCACTGAAGAAAACTCAGCATTCTCTTTGAAAATGGACAGTTAACAACAGTTCTGAGCAGCACAGTCAGGTCTCGTTCAGAGTGGATGGGGATCTGGGCTGGGGCAGGAGTGGTCACACAGCTGCCAGCGGACCACCCCCATGGGCCCCTCTGTGGCGGAGGACAGGAGGGTTACCTGTTGCTCCCGTTCCTTCAGGAGGCTCCCCAACCAGCTCTGCCTCTTCCTTCTAGGGCCTCCTACTGGCTCCCCTAAGTTACTGCAGAGGCCTTGCAGATCCTCTCCTCATTTGCTCCCTGATGGACTCTTACAGTCCTGTGGGCAGCTCTGACGCCAAGAAGGCCCCCACTGCTCTGGTGGGACCCGTGACATCTGCTTTACACCAGAGTCCGGTTTCTAAGCATGCCTTCCCGGCCTTGCATTATAGATCCAGCTTCAAAGTGGCGCTTTCTTTTTGGTCAAAGGTTCCTGCCCCTTTCGCAAGTCCCTTCTTCCTGGCTGGTCCCATGCTTCTCAATTCTTTAAGAAGCCATGCTGCGATCTGAGACAGGGGAGAACTGCTTGTTTACATTGGCTGTGCCTTTAGAATGGCCTCACTCCCCATCTCCCATCCCCACCCCGGCAGACTCCGTTAGGTTCTAACTCAGGGGCCAGCAAACGGCAGCCCTTGGTCTGGCTTAAATGGCCAGGGAACTAAGAACAATTTTTACATCTTTAAATGGTTGAAATTCACATTTCAGAGTCCACAAATAAAGCTTGGCTGGAACACAATCATCCTCCCCCATCCATGGACTGTCCACGGCCACTGTTATGCTGCTAGGGCAGAGTTGAATAGCCATGACAGAGACGGGATGGCCCGCAGAACCTCCAATATCAGGCTATCTGACTATCTGACCCTTTACAGAAATAGTTCGCCATCCCCTGGTCTAAGCAGAGCTTCCCCGCAACTCTCCGGTAATAATTTCCATTTAGGAACCTACAAAGAGCTGCTCGGTGCATGTTCTGACCTTGAAGGGACAGATAAGAAAGCACCCATGTCACCGCCTGGGGGATCAGTGCCTCCTTGAAGGGACAGATAAGAAAGCACCCATGTCACCGCCTGGGGGGATCAGTGCCTCGGCAGCAGCATCTCCCTCTGGATGCCCCCCAATCCCTCCTCTCACCCTGCCCTATTAGTTTATGGGTCTCCCTCATTCTCGTCTAAAGGGCAAAGCGCATTATCCATCCCCAGTACCCAGCAGAGGGCCTGATACAAACCAGCAGACTAGAAGTACTTGCTGTACGACCTCTTCCAGCAGCTACTTTTTAAAACCACCCCACTTGCCTGGAAGGCAGATGAATGATTTTTCAAATGGGGAATACCCTTAGACCGGCTTCCCATTCAGAGGATAATAACACAGCTGCAATACTTGATGGTGGCAGAGGTGCTTCCCATTGAACAGAAAGTACTGACAAAGAAAGGAATATTCGGACATGACTAGTCTATATCATTTCAATCCTAGAAGGCACTACAGAGAAAGAATCATTTTGTCTTCCAAGTGAGCTGAGGCTTAGAGAAGTTAGAATCTTCAAACCCAGGGCTTGTCTTCCGAGCCTACACGCCTCCCCCTACAGTTACTAGTGTGAATGGGCGCATTTTCTTTAATTTCCTCCTTTAGTGGAAACCACGGACCAGAATCATGGTGGAATCAACCTCTTCTGCTCTAGGACCCTCCCCGAGCACAAGTGCTAGCTTTCCCAAGTGACAGAACCCTCTGGGAGTCTGGCCAAGTCTATGAACCCCTTCTCAGAAAATGACATGTGCGGCTTTATTTGGACATTAAGTAACAAGATCTGGGGGTGAGTCTGATTACAACGAGTGCTGAGTGCCAGCGACAGCTTGAGACACTGTAACAAAATCAACTACAGTTTCTACTGATGAAAAAGCCACAGACATCGACCACTGTTGCTTATGACCTATAACCATAGTTAAAGAAGAGGCTATATTTCAGTTACAGTTTGGTGAAGAATGAAGACATATTTTATGCTGGGGTTCATGGACACCTTGAATGGAGCTCAGGTTAAGAACTCCGGCTCTAGAAGTAACCTGGGAGCCAGTCCATGCACAGGAAGGATGTTTTTAAAGGTCTTATTAGGTCTCTTGAAAACACAGGTTCCAGGAAAACAGAATTCACTACACAAATTCCATGAGCACCCAAGAATTAAAATCAGAATTCTGGAATGCTCTGCAAGCTGCTCGTGCATGATTTAGACTGACTCTGACTTTCACGGGTAGAGTGGTCCAACAAGTCAGGGTGCAGATATGCTTCCACTGACCAGGAAAAACAGAGCCTGTGCACTGAGATACAAACAGACCGTGGCTAAGATTCCAAGGCTTTTCCCCATGCACACTCTGGCTGGTTAGCATACTGTTAATCCCTAAAGTATTAAGTTTTAGTTATTAAAGGAAGTCACCCAGGGGACTGACAGAGCCATAGAATTGAAATAGAAAAATCTTGGGAGTTAATGCAACCCTGGAATTTTACAGATAAGGATAGTCAAGCTCAATGAAGAAAGAGAGGTGATGTGCCTAAGTGCGACACAGAGTGGGGCTGATTTAACTGATCCTGGAAAAAAAAAATTACAAAATGATGGGATTTGAGCAAATCCTGATCTGAAACAGAAAAAGTTTGTGTTCCTCCCTCACCATCCTCTTATTTAAATTCTGATTTCTCTGCGTATTGTAATTTGATATGGACCATTAATCTGTCCTGTATATTTTACTTTGAATATTGAAGTGGATATTTTGTATAAGAGATGAAGTGTCAGAGCTCAGAAACTGGTTTTCCCAACACAATTTAATAAAGCGTGATCTTCCTCTCCAATGCTTTTATAAGTGAAAATTTTGTGTATGTAGCTAATAGTTCAAAAATCAAGAAATACCCATGAAAACTGTTTTCCATATGAAAAGGCAGAGAGTTTACAAGAGCAAGACTTCTTCCTCTTTGTTTGTAGTAACAAAAATAAACCAAAGTCCTGACATATTTGTAGTATTTTTATTCCTAAAGGAAAAAACAGGAACTTTCATTGTACTTTAAAGTTATTACCCCAGATATTTTACCAGCTAAGCAATGTGAGATCAGTCTCAGACATAAGAGACCGCTGCTCTCTCTAGGAAATGCTCAATTAGGGTGGTGCCTCTGAAACACTCAGGGGTCCTGTAACTGATCAGTTTTTCCCAGAGGGTTTCTGCAGCATATAGCCCTGGTTGAACAGCACACATCATGCTCGGATTTTTCCTGTTGCCTGGCTAGTGACCCCCCTACAGGAAGATAACAGACACGCCAGGAGGGCGGAGCAGCTTGCTACACATGTCTGGCTGCTCTTATCAACTTATCATATAAGGAAAGGAAAGTGATTGATTCGGATCCTGACACCGCAGAATCTGGAGGAAGAGAAACAAAGCAGCATTAACACCGGTCTGTAAAGTGCATACAGCCCTCAGGAGTGAGCAGGGTTATTCTTTCTACTGCCATCTGACAGTTCACTGCAGGACCGACCCACCGGAGGGAAGACAGCATTAACAATCAAGTTCCTGCTGGAAAGGGAGGGAAGAGACTCCCACTGATGGTCCTTAAACCATGGCCGCAGAGCCCCGCATCTGAGAGGGCAGCTTAGGACCGGGATTCCCATGTGCCTTCGAGTTTGCTAAGCTGCTGGTTTATTACCAAAAGAAAGAAAGAATGTGGCAGATTGTTTTCTTTACTTTGAGCTGTGATCTTGTCCTAGCCGCAGCCTATAACAACTTTCGGAGAAGCATGGACAGCATTGGGAGAAGGCAGTATCAGGTTCAGCACGGAGCCTGCAGCTACACTTTCCTCCTGCCAGAGACAGACAACTGTCGCTCTTCTAGCTCCTACGTGCCCAACGCCGTGCAGAGGGACGCACCACTAGATTACGATGACTCGGTGCAGAGGCTGCAAGTGCTAGAGAACATCATGGAAAACAACACTCAGTGGCTAATGAAGGTAGGAAAAAAAAATCATTTTTATTTGGTGAACAGTTGAAGCCAGTAAGATCAGCTCGGTTTTAACAACCAAAGGCAATGAGCACAGGAAAGAGATAGATGGTGGCTAATACCTTCGAATGAATTATCATTTCTTTTATTCTATCCCAGGGTGTAAAGTAGTCCTGGGTGGAAAGTGAAAAGGATTATTTGAGAAGAATGCCAGAATCCAGAGAGAAAGAGATCTCCGAGTTCGGTATCTTTATTTAATAAAATAGAGAAAGTGCACTTCTCTGCAAAACGTGTAGGCTGTGTTGTTTGTGTAAGTGGTTTAAACTCAGTAACACCCGTTACCAGGGATGTTATAAACTGGTTGCAGGCAAGCGGGGTTGGGGGAAGCTGTAAGCAACAGCGGTGCCGGAGCCAGGAGCCAGGAAAAACGTGACAATCATGCTAATTACTGAGACATAACGGATGGAGTAAAGTGCTTTACCAATTTCCTGAATTTATTTACTAAAATAGACTGCGACTCTTGGTAAATGGAAGGAAATTTAATAAAGCAGACTTTACGTTTCTCAGAACCTGAGGGCTTTACCCTGAAGGGTTTGTCATTTTGTAAATGGGGTAAGTTTTGCAAGGGTCTGAGGGTATGTCCGGCACCCAGCCCCTCAGCTGAAGCCGCAGGCTGTGAAGGTCGCCCCACATGGGACGGGTGCGCAGGGCATTTGCTGCAGCTCTGCCATGACGAGATGTTCGCGGGGTTATGATGATACACAGTTTCACAGACATTTCAGAGGGGGTTTAACCCAAACAGGATATTGAAAGCTCAGTTTTTCTTTCACAAGTGATCATTTTCCTCATGTACATGTGGGGGCTATTTCTACAAAACCCAGTCTCCCTGAAATTTTTCTTGATATGGACTATATATATACATATATTCTAAAGGAGGCTTAAATTGTGGCAATAGATTAATAATTAAATATTATAATGACAGTATACCACGGTGCTTACACAGTAGAGAAGGTACTATTTACCAAGCTAATTCACTTCATTCAAGACCTTGCCCCAGAAAGAATTCTCAGCCTTTCATTTCCCCATAAACTTTGTTAGGATACTTTATCTTAATCTTAGAATAGATCGTGTCTCCCAATCTGTGTTTCTCATTAGCTGTCCTCTTCAGAGAGGAAGGACCAAGTTACGACTGGCGTCTAAGCCGGAATGAATGAGCGCCTGCTCAGCACTGCGTTCGCTGAGACCAGAGTAGCTGCTGCAATGCAGACACAGAAAACAACAAATGCCCACCAGGAAGGCCCGCTGTGTAATACTCAGCTCATTACTAATTATCTTTGAAGGCACTGGCCCTTCTGGGCAAATTCTCCCCCAGGTTTTCCTCTTTTCCAAAGAAGGTCCCTGGGGTGTGCACTTTTAAAATCTTTAATAATTCATACATGTGCATAAAAAGAAGCTGTTTGTTTATTCACAGATGTACTTTTATAAAAAGTACACAGCAACACAGGTTCAAATACTTGGAAGACAAAATACGTGGAAGACAAACTGCATCCTAAATGCCTGCTCACTCTGACATCTTATTTAATTTTAAATTGTCATGCTCACGCTGAACCACCTCCCTACGTCCACACTGTGGTTATGCCAGGGCTAATAGCCACAGCAAGAGATGAAAGATATATCATACATAGTAAACATCCTAATCTGCCCGACTGGTACATCCTCTCTTAAAATAAACAGTCAAGAAACCTGGAAGAATGTTTTGCCAAATGCAAGATTGTTAAATTGCATTTGCTTAATGAAGCCCACAGTTAGTATACCTGAAAAACTCAATGGTCAAGGCTCATATTTCTTTCTTAGATAAACAACCCCCTTCTCTTGGACCTTTGAGACACTGTTTAAAGAAGGAAAGGGACAAGAAATTCTACATGAAGAGACTACCATTTTTTCCTTTCCCGGTTCAATTAGTAAATATTTGAACAGTGGCACAATGGCATTTCTAGATTCTTTCTTTAGCTATCTGCTAAATTATCACCAAGAATGACGTCATGTTTATCTTTTCATTGGCTCAGCACCTGTTCACCTGGCCTATCTGGGTGATGTGCACCTGAGAGTCTGTGTTCACTCACTCTGTTCACAGGCTTCTCGTTTGGGAATGAAAGCAAAAAAAGCAAATATGAAACCTGTTTAAAGTAGTTAAATGTAACCTCTCTGCTTGTTTTTTATTGCTGTGTTTTGTCACCTGTGATAATAAACACTGCTTTTCTCATAAGAGAGAAAATAATATATAATGGGATGATGGATAACCCACAGGATTAAAGGTTCAACACCACAATCTAACACGTATTGCTAGACTATCCCAGAGAGAAAAAGCACAATTCTGTGTTTTTCATTGTTTCTCATATTTCCTTTTCTTTAGGGCTGTTTTTTTTTTTTTTAATGGTTTTATATTTCCTTTCTTCCCCTGATCCACACTAAAAATCAGAGGGGTCTGCAGGGGGTGGCAGGGTGGGAAACCTTTAAGATTTTAAGAAAACTTGTTAAGAAGGAAAATAAGACCAAGTTTCTGGTTAATTTCAGAGCAGATGACTAGCAGTTCATCTCCTGAGTGGCTAGCATCCCCTAAGGAGCTTGGACTAAGAAAGCTGTTTTACAAATCATCAAAAGATGCCACACTGCCCCTTTAATCTGCCAGGCAAAGGAAGTGTCAGACTTCTGAATGAGTGCAGAGTAATATGAATGGAACAACACAGGGAGGGCTCACTTTCTGCTCAGTGGTTAAACAAGGATAAGATAAATGCATGACAGTTTACCAAATACACCACGATGACCTAAGAAAACATTCTATGTCACATTCCCTTGCTAATCCTGCAACTATTCTAAACCTCTGCCCCAGTGGTATTAAACTCACTTTATAAAAACTGACAAATAACTTAGCAAAGTGGATTTTATCTTGCCTGGAGACCAAATGTATTTTTTTTTCCGATAAGAGGAAATAAGGAAAGGAAATAAACAATTATTTCACACTGATGAATACCTCAAATTTATAAACAACTGCAAAGCCTATTGTGCTTTAAAACAGAATGTTTTGAAAAATAAAGCTAATGCCTATTAAACTGATGTAAACATTTCCTCTTTTTTTTTTTAATGAAAGAAGCACAGGGTAGGCACTACAAACCTGAATCTAGATTTTTTTCTCTCTCTAAAACTAATAATAATATATCCTTTTAATAAGGTAGGAAGAACTACTCTTCTTCAGTGGATGTATAGGGGACAATGCACTTTTGCTGCTAAAAACAAAATTGCTGTCAATGGGAAAAACCCATGGTGAGAGGTTCAGGTGCACGGAGACCACCAGCCCCTCCCCCATCCCTGCGTGGTGGCGGGGGGTTGGGGGGGAAGGTGGAGAGGGAGTGTGTGTGTATTTTATCATGTGTGGCTGCAAAACACTCCTTAGCTATATATTCAAACAAACAAATAAACCAGAGCTTGGTTCACTAAGGGCAATAAAAAAAAAAAAATCCTACCATATCCATAGCCAATGGCCCTACTGCAGGACTGGAGCAGAACCACCGATCCCATACTGTATCTGTGTATCTTGAATCATGAAATATGTGCTCAGTATTAGCAGCAAATTTTGTGCAGTCAGACAAGCTGAATAAAGCCGCTATTTCAGATGGCAGGGAAATGATTACTATTGATATGTAATTATATACTCACATCATTTTAAGAAGGAATGAAGAGATGATTAAAGTTTCACTATGGGAAAGGAAGGACAACATATTTAAGTTTGGAAAATGCAGGTATAATATAATGTTTACTATGTATCATGTAAAATATATAGTACAATGTGTGCTTACTATGTATATTATGTAAAACATACTAAATATTTGGTATACATAGTATATGTTGTTTATATAGTATTTGCTTTCCATGGTCAAGTAGTCTCTGCTTATTAAATGAGGCTTCTGGCATGCTGAACGATGTAGGTACCACACTATGGGGAGATGACTATTTGCTTGCAGAGTCTAGAACTAGGAAATGGAGCTGTACACAACTTCCATAATATGTTACTTCCTGTTTAGACACTAGGTAATCCAGAAAGTCTCCATACTAAAATTTGAAAAATGGTTTATTTTCATCAATGTAGTTCTTTACAGTTTACAAACAGGTTGTGATCCAAAAGTTTATCTGTAAACCAGTGGCTGTAAACCAGGAATATGAAAGGGATAATGACCTTGTAAATGGTGATCCTATGCTCAGGCTGGCCCAGAGTGCTGGTTTTAATCTATAACTGAAATCTTGTGTATTTATAATTGAAAAACAACAGTTTCAATCAACCCTACCACCATATGGATAACTTACAAAAAAAAAGCAAAAATGTTATGAAAGTTAACATACGGGCAATGTAAAATAAACAAGTCAAACCATTAAAACAGTAGAAAGTAGGAAGTAAAATTCTCCCTCTCCCTAATCTTCAGCTTCCAGATGAGCACTTAAGAGATTTATAGTAGCTCTTTATTGTAACAAATTTAATATGAAAACGCATGAATTTCCTTCTTCTTAAAATATGTGCGGTGGCATTACCACTGTGACATGATCAGAACCCTTGTCTGGATCATGAATGATGTGGAAAGAGGTTGAAAGAGGTTTTATTTAGGGAAAAAGCAAAATTTGGAAGACTGAGGTAAAGAAGAAGATGAAGTAAAGGAGTGTGTGTGCCCATGTGTGCATGAGAGAGAGAGAGAGACAGAGGCAGAGAGAGACAGAGACAGAGAGGGAAAGACAAAGGCGAGCGGGAGAGACACTACCCACGAGGGCTCAATCAAGATAAGGAAAAGGGGCAGTATTATTGCATGACTGTTTTGAGAGAAGAAAGGTAGTTAATATTGCCCCATATTCTGGCCACCAAATGACACCATGGCCTGCACAGCACTGTGGATTTCCTGAATTGAGACCTAGAGGGTACATGCAATGAATCATGGACATGTATAGATTTTCCAAATCAGGAGCTCA